CCCCAACGCTGCTGTCGCTGTGGTGCCGTAGAGCCGCCCTGCTCGTCTTCTCGTGGTCCGTAGCCCGAGATCGGCGTCTACCCGTGCTCCATCCATGGCCCGGAAACATATGAAGGAGAAGGAGAAGCTGACGTCAGCGAGTGGAGGGACTGGACATTTAAAAGACGTAGAAAATAGCAAGAATTGTGTAGAAAAAGAATTATAATGATAAGTTTTAGAAAGGTAAATTATAACGATATATCTCCTTCGAGAATTGTAATGGCAGGATAAAAAAAACCGTAATAAAGCGGTGCTGCTCGGGGCGCAGAGGAGGCAAAGAGGAAGGAAGCGCAGCGGGAGCGCCAGACAGACGAGCCGAGCACCACCGCCGCTAGAAAAGGCTGCCCAAAACCCTAGCTCCCGCGCGCCACCGCGCAGATCCGGGCCTCCCGCGCGATGGCGGAGGCGGAAGCGGCGGGGTCGTTGTCGAGGCGGCGGATGGAGGGCGAGGAGGGGGCGGCGGCGATGGTGGCGGATGCGGGGCACAGGGGGAGGGGCGAGGCGGAGGATGAGGAGGTCGAGAGCAGCGACTACACGTCGGAGGACGAGGGCACCGAGGACTACCGCCGTGGCGGATACCACGCCGTCCACGTCGGAGACTCCTTCAAGCAGGGCACCTACGTTGTGCAGTCCAAGCTCGGATGGGGCCACTTCTCCACCGTCTGGCTTGCCTGGGACACAGCCCACTCCGTGCGTGCCCTAACCCTTTTCTCGAGATCTCTTCGTGTCCAATTCCAATGATTCGTGTTGTCGATCTGGATGCGGTTTGTCCAGTTTGCTGCTGCTGTTTGCCTCTGCCCACCAACTGTTCGTTACTTTCCCTGAGAGGATACTAATGCATATATTCGCTGCGGATAAAATGATAACTACTGTTCCATTCGGGATTCCCATTATTCACGAAAATTCCGATTTCTTTAGCCCCTGCTATCTAGAGATTCAGGGAGCATCTGTCTTAACGTTTCTGGATTTGTTGATGCTCTGTACAGAGATATGTGGCGCTGAAGGTGCAGAAGAGCGCTCAACACTACACAGAAGCAGCCATGGATGAGATCAAGATCTTGAAGCAGATTGCTGATGGTGATCCTGACGACTCAAAATGTGTTGTTAAGCTTCTTGACCACTTCAAGCACTCGGGTCCTAACGGTAACCATGTGTGCATGGTTTTTGAGTTTCTCGGCGATAACCTGTTGACCCTGATAAAGTACACGGACTATCGAGGAATTCCCCTTCCGATGGTTAAGGAGATATGCTGCCATGTGCTCATTGGCCTTGACTACCTCCACCGCACACTTTCTATTATTCACACTGACCTTAAGCCGGAGAATATATTGCTTGTGTCTACCATTGACCCCTCGAAGGACCCTCGGAAATCAGGTTTACCGCTGGTTCTGCCTTCAGCGAGGACAGGCGAGCCACCTCCAAAGGTGCCTGCACAATCAGGAAATGGTGGCCTCACCAAGAACCAGAAGAAGAAGATCCGGAAGAAAGCCAAACGTGCAGCTGCTGCAACTTCAGAAGGAAGTAGTGCTGTGGCATCTGCTGACACAGATGGGTCAGATGACCGAGGAGATCTGGGTACAACAAATGAGGGTAGTCCTAGCCAGGATGGAGCTAAGAAGCGGGCAACACGAGATAGACGGGGTAGCAAAGGGGCCAAGAAGAAGATGGCAATGGAGGCTGATCTAAAATGCAAGCTGGTGGACTTTGGAAATGCATGTTGGACATACAAGCAGTTCACAAGCGACATTCAAACAAGGCAGTACAGATGTCCTGAGGTTATACTTGGTTCCAAGTATTCTACATCTGCTGACCTGTGGTCCTTTGCATGCATTTGCTTTGAGCTTGCCACTGGGGATGTGCTATTTGATCCACATAGTGGTGATAATTTTGACAGAGATGAGGTATGTCTATTTTTTCCCATTGCCCTGATTTCATCTACTGTACTTTTCATGGAATCGTATCCAAGAAAAAAAGAAAGAGAATCACCCGATTACAAGTGTACCTGAACAAAAGGTGGTCTTGATAACCCAAAAAAAGCCTTCCATACTGACTTGCAATGAACACAATGTAATTTGCCCTCTAATCTAATTATTTTATGTGTAGTTATTCTGAAATCTCATAACCAGTCATTGAACTAGAAGTGACTAAGTCTGTTCTGAAGAACTCGTTTTATTATTATACAACTTTGCTTTGGTTTCAGCTTACTCTTTTTTGGTTTGGTAGGATCCTCATCCTTACCCAGCAAAGAATAACAAACAAAAAAGGAACGTGAACCTGTTTAAACTATGACAATCAAACATGAATCTTGAAATAAATGCAGTGTGCATCTTGTGTTGTCTTTAACTACGAAATCAGCTGGTTCTATTTCTTTTTTTTTCCTTAGTATAGTAAATCCATGATGTTTTCAATTTTGTCCCTGTATTTGCCATGTTATTTTGCATACATCTTTCATGTACATATCCTTGGTCATATGTGTAATGACACATTTTTTTTTATAACTTAGCATCACTGACACTGAACATCTGTGAACTACCCAATGCAAAGGTACTTTGCTTTGCTAGTTGGTGACAATAGGAGACAATGAATTTAGCCAGTTAGAGAAGGATACAACTTTAGTGGTCGATCTTTACTTTTCCATACCATGTGTTCACAAATCTAAAATGGAAAATAAAATAGAATGGAGGTCCTTTTTTCAAAAAAAAACTGAAAAGTACAGTAACTATTTAGTTTGTCGATATTGGGATGGCACGCATAACCACATAAGTTATTACCCACTTTTACATAATATTTTTCTACAATTTGAACTGCTGATGTTGACCTTCTGCCAACTTTACATGCTCTGTTGTTTTTGGCTTAGCCACTTTACAGTTATGGTTTATCTAAATTGCTTTCTTGTAAGAGAAGCAAGTTGATGTCTAAAAAATATATTACAGAAGAAGAACACGAAGGCTAAGTGGTAGAGCTAGAAACTGTTTTTTTCAACTTCTACCAACGTTGCTGTGCCTTGTTACTCCCTTTTGGCTCGTGGCTTGCTGCACCCTGACTGGGCAGAATGAGTTTTTGTTTGCTATTTTCTGTATCCTGGTAACAAGAAACGATGTTGATAGTAAATCATTTTTGACTTGCATATGGCATATGGTCTTGAACCACATGGAAAATTTTATTTGCGTGTATTGAGCAAGTTTGAAGTATTTATCATTTGGGTTTTCTAGTTGATTGGCCTCTGCATTTTGTTGGGGATCAACTGCTGATTACTCTACAAATTAGTCCTTGAACTATGTAAAATTTCTGCATCAAGATTTCTTCATTTTAATAGTATTTTTGCATGTGCCAAGTACGTGCCTCTAGACTGCAGCTTTGCAATTTTTTTTTTTGGGAAAATGATTTGACTTGCTCCCTTCCCAAGATGGAGTTATATTCTGAGAAATTCTTCATAATGCAGGATCACCTTGCGCTGATGATGGAACTGCTAGGAATGATGCCTCGAAAGGTTAGCAAGGTTTCAATTTTAACTTGCCATAGTTCGTAAGCAAAAGTTCATAGTGTTCTTAATTTTGGCATACAAATAATGTTTCCCAGATTGCGTTGGGTGGTCGGTATTCACGTGACTTCTTCAATCGGTATGGGGATTTGAGGCACATCCGACGCTTGCGGTTCTGGCCTCTGAACAAGGTGCTGATGGAGAAGTACGAGTTCACTGAAGTAAATGCTATTGGGATGGCGGATTTTCTTGTTCCAATACTTGATTTTGTTCCTGAGAAGCGCCCTACCGCTGCTCAGTTGCTTCAGCATCCATGGCTTGATGTTGGTCCCCTCCGACAGCAACCTAAAACACTGCCAGACTCAGCGCAGAGTTCAGGTGATGGTGTTTCAGAGAAGCAAAAGAAGGAGAATGAAGAAAGAGACGCAATGGCTTTAGAGTTGGGGAACATTGCCATAGATGGTGCTGCTTCAACCAGGATGGCAAATGACCCTCAAGCAAGCACAAATAAAACAACTGCTACCCCTTCTAAGAAGTGAGCTGCATTTGATTTCATGAGTTAAGCTGTAAAATTTGTTTTCAGTCCAGAATTGTTCCATGAGTGGGAAACAGATGTTTTTTTAGGTTTGAAATATGTTAGGATAGCAACCGAGGGAAAAGAAGAGTAGGCCAAATATTTGGTGTATGTGGTTGGATGGACAAGACTAGATTCGTTGGGGTTGCAGTAACCCTATTCCTTTTTCTTTGAGAACATATTCTTTTGTACAATTAGAATCTGCATCTGCAATTTTTTTAAGGTTAGCAGTGAACAACTGGGAACCCGAGATCAGTTTTACCTAGTTCTCAATGGGTCTGACCTGAGATTTTCTGCTGGTAACCATGTGCAAACAGGATGTGACGCCTTTGATCACTGTAATGATTTACATATTTTACCTGGTATATATGCATTTCAGCTACACAGGAAAGTAGGAGTGATTTATGTTTGGTTTATCTCGTTACCGGTTTGGTTTATCTCGTTACCGACCAGGGAAGAGGGCCAGTGAGCCAGTGGAGTAGTTGCAATCAGATGAAAGAGTTGATTAGTTACGATCAGGTGAAACCTGAAACGAGTTGGGTTGTGTCAGGTGGTCGGGCACTTGGGTCGTTCAAAGCACCAGCTCGAGCGTAACGAGCTGCCGGTGCATGGCGTGGGTTTGGGTCGTGGTTCGTGCTCTGCTCGGACGGACCTGACCTGACCGAATTGCGGCGCGGACCAGAATCTCTTTGTGTGTGCTGGTGCTGGTTTGTTGGGTCGTGTTGTCCGGCCTCGAGCACGGTCTACCGAGCGCGAATCCGCAATCCATTGGCCAGGGCGGCCGCACAGCAGACAGGACACCACCCAAAAGGGAAGTCAACCAAAGGCCGAACGGCCCCACCCCTTCCGTCACAAATCCGAGGGTGGGCAGCTCACCCAGCGGGGCTCGAGTCAGCGCGCGCGGCAATGGAGCGGCGGGCGCAGCAGCCCGGCGACGCGCAACAGCCAGGCAAGGACGGCGGCGGCGACTCTCCTCCTCCACCGCCACCGGTAAGACCCGCTCTCCTCCTGCGGCACAGAGCCCCACGAACCTTCTTGTACATCTTCATCCCGCGGAAAATTCATCAGAATAGCAAATCTCCGACCGAGCAACTCAAAAGCGTCGAGCTGACGCGCTTGCTGTCTGCTTGCCGCTTGGCAGTTCTTGGAGGTGACGTGCAGGAGCTCCGGCAAGGTCCGGCGGTTCGCGGCAGGGACGACGGCCCGCTACGCGCTGCACGCCATCAACCGCAAGCTCGAACCCGGGGCCCCGCCGGCGCTGCACGTCGAGGCCGTCAGGGACGGCGAAGAGCCCGTCAGCTTCGGCCCCAGCGCGGCCCTCGCCGACTACGGCCGCGGCTGGAGGCTGCAGACCGTCACCGCGCAGGACGCGCCCGGGATCCATCACGCGCCGCACGCGGACACGGTATGCCATGGCTAGTTCTCACCTGCTCACCTGCATCTGTGTTGAATAAGCTGTCACGAATGAAAGTTCGATTTTTCTTCAAGAATCAAGAACTAGGCATTAATTTAGGAAAAGCTAAATCACTTTCGGTTGTTTTAGACGCCTCTGACACGCAAATTAGTCACCGTAGGATGTTCTGTTTCAGTTGATGGTGTCCATATCAATTAGAGATCGCAACACCATACCAATTTTGGCCGGTTCGCTTTTTCTCTCCATTTCATTTTGGTTGTTTTGGCCGGCTCCAAAACAAACGAATACAGACTAGATAATCCTTTTTCTTTGAGGGATCATTTTGTGTGGATTGTTAATTGCAGAAACAGGGATCATTTTGTGTGGATTGTCAATTGCAGAAACAGGGTGACAGGCAGCTATCCAAAGAAGATGCCGTTGATACGGAGGCAGTAAGGGGCACTTGGATCTATGTCGCCAAGATCGTGCTCGCGTTTGTGTTTCTCTTCCTGTTAGGTGGATTGCTCACGTACCTGCTGGAGGTGATCCCTGATATGCTGCAGACTGCATCGGCGCTTGAATTATCTGAATTTTTGTAGAACCCGCTGACTGAAAATGTATGACGCATATATCATTTCATTAACGTTATATGACATTGTGTGCCGCATTGTAACTTGGTCAATTTTAATTCGTGTCACTGCAACTCGTGATAATTCATCGTCTTTGTTATAGTACTAGTCTGTTTGGATCCGCTGCTCACTGTTAGGTCTACTTTCTTAGGCATTGGGAAGGATTGCTTGAGTGCTTGGTAGCACTTAGAAATATGAGGTCCACGCAGCTTGGCGAGTTCAGAAAATAAACAAAGCAAGTTGTAGTGTTTTTTTTAGACCTACTACTGACTTAGACGTTTATATACGAGCGTACACTCACCCCTATAAACGCACACATATGCTTACCTTACCTCTGTAAACATCTCCGAAGAACTAAGTTGGACCGGGCTATTAAATTATGAAATAAATATAGCAAAGAACATATGCTCACCTTACATTCGTTTTAATTTTAAGATAAAAACTTGAATCCGGATGAGCAGCTTCAGTCACAAAGAACTAACCAACTGGAGAAGGTTACATGTGCAGTGACACACCGACTTTGTAATGAGATAACCACGGTACCCACAATATTTAGACTATACTGTACTGTAGCCTTTGTTTTTCTTTTTCCTTAATTATTTCATAATATAGACAACCAAATCGGATGTCTACGTAAACATGCTTAGCCGGTTTTTAACCCCATCTTTAGTGATAACGACAAATTAAATAAAGTTCATCATTGTGTAGCTCTCATAGAGATATTCAAAACACAGACACAGGTACAGAACATCCATTTTACAGTGCAGATCGAGAGAGTTATGAGTTTTTGGAAAACCCTTACTTGTGAGAACTGGCCAAACAAACTTTCAAACTACACTAAGCTGGAATTTGGGCAAGTCCAAGTAAAATTTTTAATTTCACATGATTTTTTAAGGAATCAACTTGTACTCGGGGTAAGACCTCCTCACCCTACATATATAAATAGTCAAGGCCAATTGAAGGTATGGAAATAGCATGTCACTAATATCTGCAATAATACAACTTCTAGATCAGCTAAGGACACATAAAACATTTACTTACTGTATGTATAGCAAACACAGGCAGCAGTACATATTGTATTTTTGAAACAAAAAGATACAGTGTCGCGGCCGGCATTAAACACATGGTATTCTAAACTTGGGTGAAAGATGACACATAATATAAGTTGGATTGTATTACTATAATGTTATCCGATCCGGTACATGTTAACTTTGAAAAAGAAAAATACAATGTCATATAAAAACTGCATGGCATATCCCCTTGGATGCTAAACTTTTATGAAAGGTGTGATACATAAGTTGTATTGTTCAGAATTTGCGAAGAATCACGTCGACCTTCTGGAGCGCAGTCGTGGCATCACAGATGTTGATCTTTCTCAGCTTTTTTGTTCACAGCATCCCAGGAATGAAAAGCCTTCCATTTCAGCAGCTCTTTCGAAATGTCACCCCAACTTTGCACGAGTTCGCAGTCCTCGGGAGAGGCAAAGTTCTCTAGATCAAACAATGGAGCGAAGGAGTCTCGGATGGGGGTGAGCCTGAGTGACTCACTCACCATCATTGCAAACCTGCAGACTCCAAGCTTTGCCTGGCTGTTGACAATCTCCAGATCTCCCACCTCCGGATTGTGCCAGGACAGGGCATGCAACCCGTGGAGCATTGATCGCCTTCCCAGAGGTACGGTGTGTAGCCGACCAATGCCACCACGGATCAGCTCAGAGTACTCCCTACCAAAACTGAGTATATGTTCGCCATCGGGAAAGAAATTGTTTTGTCCTTCTAAAATGAACTTGTCAACTGTTTTATTTGCAAATCCACATATGGAGAGGTCGTCCACGGTTATGAAGATGGTCGCCTCATCTTCGTACTCGCCGGTAAGTTGGAGATGAATCATGGGGTCGGACGGCGATTTCTTGTTTCGGCGTTGTGGGGCGAGTACAAGGTGCCCCTCCACGCCCAATTGAAAAGTTTGAGGTTGAGCTTCCCAAAGGGCCACCTTCAGCATGTCGTAGAGGTCTTCAATGCGTCCATTCAGGACATCAAATTTGAGGTTGACCACCCTCTGTGTAGAAACTGGAATGGGTTTAAGGGCTACTAGTGCTAAGGCTAGTAAAAAAGAGCTTGTAACAGTTGGTATTGACCATAGTGTTGGAATGCTCTTTTTTTAGCCTGTGTGGAATGCTCTGGGTCTACAGCAATAGGAACCATATAAAGGAGGTTATAAAGGCTGATGACTCCGGCCGTTCAAATGTATTCTTGACTATAAGTTAAACAAAGTTGGTGTGTTCTTGTTTGGTTTTAGGTGGGAATTGAAGAGGATGCATCATGCAGGTTAGCTAGGGGCCTTTTCTATCACACGTCTTCTGTTGTTTGCCAATGCCTAGGTAGGAAGTAGGGAAGGGGATTTTCGTTCGTGCATCTGGCATTAGGAGATCAGAGCTTGGTGCATCATTACTAAGGTATGGTCTCTTCCATACCTTAGTATGGTCTCTTCCAATGCAGGTCAACGCCAAACTCCATCCCTCACCGGCCACCGGGACTCCAACAGCAGAGCAACAAGGACAGAGATACCTTCACCAACACAAAGCAGACAACTACCACTGCACAACTCCTATCTAATTACAGGCAAACATTCCTGGCGTACGATGTTACTGTGATGCATCCTTGATGCCTGACAGCAACAACTACCCATGGAAAGCAGGACTTGGCGTCTTCATAATCAATACAAGCGGCCCACAAACTTTGCTGGCGTTTGTTCAGGCACACATTACAGTCGACTCAGTCCTCATGGCAGAAGCTGCTGCACTACTACTAGCAGCCTCAATAGTTCAGCAACTTGGATTCACCAATGCAACATTCTTCACAGACAACCAATCAATGGCGAACTTCTATAACTCCTCAAGCTTCTCCAACCCTCCACATTGGAAGATTAAAAGCCTCACAACAGGCTTCCTGAAAACCTTGGAGGGAAATCAGTTCAGAGTTCACAAAATTCAGAGAAGCCTAAATACCACAGCACACTCCTTAGCACATCAGGCTTACAGGTCCACTGCTGCTGCTAAAGTTTCAGTTGCACTTCTACTCGACACAGCACTTAAAGATCCATGCCCTGCTCGGGATGCATGCATTTCTGTAATCAAGGAGCCTTTTAGCCTCCTAAGTGTAAGATGCTCTTGAAATTTAATGAAGTCAGTTATCCAAAAAAAAAGGAAGTGGAGTCCGGCTTCATCTTCAACCATGTGTGTTCTGAGTATGCTACAAGGAATCTTCTATATATTGAATATATTGAATCTTAAACTAAAATGGAGTATCCATCAGATCGAACGAGCAAGCGATGTGGTCCGTTCAATTGTGGATCGGTCAGGTGATCAGGTACCTAGCCCATTAAGCCACAAATCGGCCCTTCCCAGAGGAGGGAAATTGGAGATGCCTTATTCAAGATAGGGCCTTTCAAGGCGTCCGGCCCAGACAGGTCTCATGCTATAGATCTTTCCAAATGAATTGAGGGCCGTTTGGATCAAGAGTTTTCACAGAAAATTCAAAGAAAACTGAAACAGAGGAAAAGGAAGCAAGCATTCTATTTGGAACACATGAAACACTCTTCCCTTTTCTACGAAACATGAAATGCTGTAGACTCTTCGCAATTTCACAGGAATGGAAAAACTCACTCTCGTCTTCGTGGAAGTCGGACGCACGTTGCCGCTAACACAGTTGGAGAACGAATGATAAACCAAGGCGTCAAGCCAATATGCAATGCGAGCTTGCTCACGCCAGCCATATGTTGCCATACACCCATACCACTCCAAGTTATAGCTCGTGCATTGCAGGACATAAAACAACACAACCATGGCATTGTGTGTTGAGTGCCTCTTATCATCATATTATAAATGCCTATGTTCCAAACATCTACTATTCCTTCCATGCGCTTTTCCTTTCCTTAGTTTTGCCACTACGCATATCTTCCTTGACTACGTTCTTTTTTCTATTCCTACTACCTCTATCTAATATAGCCCATACAAGCATTCAAAGATTATATATAAATATAAATGATTCTAGGGACAGAAAATAGTTTTGCATTAAATATTTACACTTTTATTTTTCCTATGTTTTTTTTTCTATTCCTACTACCTTTGTCTAATATGACGCATACAAGCATTCAAAAATTGTATCACAAATGTAAGATCTAGGAGACAGAAAACAGTTTTACATTAAATATTTATCATTTATCAACTAATCATCATTAATCATATAATGATGTCGGATTAAATAGTAAAGTAAAAGCACATGCATCTTTTGTGTTGTCTTTTAATCTGTCTTAAAATCTCTAAAAATATACTATATTATAAAACAGAGGGAGTATGTTTTTCATTCCCTTGCTATGCGCGAGCATTTATAAACAGATACGGGTAACCACAGAAGCACGCATATTCTTCCTTACCAAAAAAAAACAAGAATTGCGCCAAAGGACGCGTACCAAACAATGAAAAGGTCGTCAAGACCTACTTCGTTCATTTTACACATTGCAATTTAGCTCTCGTTTCCCTTTGGCGGCGTAAAACATTAACTAGAAAGCAGCTGACAATCTAGAGCTTAACAAAACTTCTTTGCTATAATGCCAAAAAAAAAACTTGAGCAAGTTTTCATTCCTATGTGGTCAGTATTTTCTTAGCATGGACAGGTCGCCATGTTTGCTCTGTTTGCAAGTCCCTCTTGGCTCTTGAAGAACATAGGAATTCCCGGTGCAACAAGAAACCTCTATCACCAGTTCTGTAACTGTGAGGCCACACTCTTCACCACTGGGTGATATTCTGTGTGCAAATACTTCTTTGCATTCTCTGAACCAGGTTGCCCCAGCCATTCGTCATATAGTTTTTTCGCGATAGGGTTATTGAAAGGATCAGATATTGATATCTGGTACACAAGATACATAATTAGTGGAAGAACATAACTCGCATAAGGTACACAATTCATGTAGGACTCTTTACCAAATTACAGGGAAGAAAACACTCTGCAGTTATAGCACATTTGATATTTCCCACTTGAGGATAAAACTATGGAAACAAATTAGAGGATAAATAGCATCCCATCAAAAGAAAAATTTGAAGGCTAAATAACATGGAATATCATATATTGTTCAGCTCAGCAAAGCTACTAGAGATGGAATAGCAGCTCTGACAATTGAACCACGATTTTACTTTTCCTCTATTGGAAGAGGCAAAATTACAGTACAAGTAAAATCTGGGTAGCAAGCAAGTGATGTTATAGCATGGTAGTAGCAAGCTAGCAACATTATACAAAGAAGAAGCAACCAAAGCAAACAAAAGTATACTAAGCTACAAGCGTAGAAGAGAATATAATAGAATAACAAGAAGATCTATACCTAATAAATATGATAACATTTCAAGCGATGACTACAGTGCATCAACTAAAATATCTATAACTCTATGCCCTACATGAATGTGGATAACTCAAAGCGAGATCAGGATGAAGATGCACCACAGTGATAAGCAAGTTGCCTTATAAACTACTCCCTCCGTTCAAATTTATAGGCCGTTTTGGCTTTTCTAGCTACATAACTTTTATTATGTATCTAGACATAACGTATATCTAGGTGCATAGCAAAAGCTATGTACCAAGAAAAACCAAAACGACCTACAATTAAGGACAGAGGGTGGTACAAGAAATGTTGGATTTCAGTTAGAAGCTTACATCTTGTGTGTACACACTCTCCAATTGCTGAATAAGTTCCTTGGCAGATTGGCCTTGAACAGGCTTTAACTGACCTCCCCCGTTCAGACAACCTGCAGAACAGTAATAATGCATCATAGAGCCACATCCTACATTTTAGAAGTTGTTTATTGAAACTTAGAACTATCATGCAAAGACATGTCATAGCGAAGTACCTGAAGGACACGCCATAACTTCAATAAAGTGGTATTCACATTTTCCCATCTTAATCTTCCTAACAATATTCTGCAGGTTCCTGAATCCATAACAAAGTGCAAACTTCAAAACAGGTTTGCCCTCCACCTGCTAGCACATGCAACATTTGCTAATTGTTATACACACATTCACTCCAGCTAGGTAAAATAATTACTGGTTTTCCACGATCATCAAGGGGATGAGTTTACCTCCAATGTAATTTCACGAAAATCTGAATTTCGCAAGATTCTAAAGTCAAGAGGACCCTCTATTTCTCTCTTGTAAATTACATGTGCTGCATAGCGAAAGACCGTTTCTGCATAGCCCCCAGAACCTCCAGAAACCCCATATAGATGGCCTTCCTCATCAACATTTGTTAACCTGGGTTATAATAAAGAAAAAATACAAGTCAGCTCTGAGATAAATTAATCAAAACAGATAAAATGAACTATGGTATATTTGGATAATATACAGACAGTACATAAGGGTACCACAGAAGCTAAAAGGCAAGTTTTATAGGACGGCGATTAGACCTGCTATGTTATATGGTGCAGAATGTTGGCCTACGAAAAGACGACATGTTCAACAGATAAGTGTCGCGGAAATACGTATGTTGCGTTGGATTTGCGGTCATACAAGAAGGGATCGAGTTCGGAATGATGATATACGTGATAGATTAGGGGTAGCACCAATTGAAGAAAAGCTTGTCCAACACCGGTTGAGATGGTTTGGACATGTCCAACGGAGACCTCCAGAGGCACCGGTGCGTAGTGGAATCCTAAGCCAGTATAGTAACATGAAGAGAGACAGAGGAAGACCGAAGTTGACTTGGGTAGAGGCAATAAAAGGAGACTTGAAAGGATGGAATATATCCAAAGACTTAGCCTTAGATAGGAGTGCTTGGAAAACAGCTATTCACGTGCCTGAACCTTGATTGCTTCTGCTGGGTTTCAACTCTAGCCTACCCCAACTTGTTTGGGACTTAAATGCTTTGTTGTTGTTGTTGATACAGACAGTAAATGATCATTACATGGATTTCTTTTTCACAACAGGTGGTTGGAATAAAATTAGCTAAAATTTGTAGACAGAAGTAGCAGTCAAACAGATTATAACTAATTAATAGTCCTGTACTTGAGAAGATGAATGAGTATAGGCGCAGAATGAAACACCAAGCACATGGCCTTACAATCTGTCCAATGAAGATTCCTCTACTGTCTTGAAATCGATAGATTTGGACTGCAGAAATATGCAAATCATAATAAGTGTCTCCCTTGTTTTTCAAATCCATCAACCATAGTACAAGCAAGAAAAAGAACCAAGTAGCAACCTGTATCAAGTCTAACACTTCACCAGTTGTCAGTACTGAATCCACCTCTGTGACTTCTTTACCGTCTACTGAGAAAGTGAAATCATCCCGGACGGCCTCTAGCTTCTTGTCGTAGCAGGGCATCACAGTGACATGATATACATCATCCGGCCTACATACCCCAAAAAAAGGAGGTTACAACTAAAAGTCAAATACTAGAAAGCAATAGTATTATAAAGACTGGTAATTGTTTAGCCTTCAGCAAATTAGAATACATCAGTAATACAAACTTCCATGATTGTTGAGGGCTTGTGGAACATCTATACAGGTTGTTGGGTAAACTGAAGTGGACTCGGTCGCTGGCTCTAACTAAGTGTATGAAAGGGAAGGATGACCTACATCAGCGAGCCACTGCTATATTTTACAAAACATTTCCTGATGACAGGTTTCTTAAACCAAAAAAATAGGATAGTTGGTGGGAGCATGCAGGTTTCCTATTAGGGAAGTTTGAATTACTCATACAATAAATCATGTGTATTAATTCATATTAAAAATAAAACATCATTTATGGCATTATAACTTTTGCAAACATATGACAGTACTGCCAAGTTGCATCGCCGGCACCTTAGAAGGCAAACAATTTTTGTGTCTGTATGAAAATTCATTTCAAGATAACACTATCTAGAGCAGAGACAAATACTAACTTTAGACCAAGTTTCTCAACCACATGGTGCTTAATGGCTGCACCAATTGCCTGTTGTGGGCTCTTTACAGATGAGATGTAAGGTAGGATGTATGAACCAAGAGTCTTTTCAGCATAGCATATCCAACCTGCAAGTAGAAGAGGCTGTGACACATATTTTGTGAACAAATCGTGTACTTGTTTCTAAAGCAAATGCATAAAAAGGTAGTGATAAACCATTAGTATTATACATGCAAGGTTACAACATTTTTAAAACCCAAACTGCGTTATGTAAATATCCATATGTCATGTTCCCAGCAAATATTTTACCCGGGCATGCAGATGAAATCATTGGAAGATTGGCTCCAGCTTCTTGGCCACTAGATGATTGATTTTTCTGATAACGTGAAACAAATTCATTGCATGCTTCAATAAGAGATAGATCTCGACTCGAGCTTGTGTCAAAAACGGCCTTTACGCCAATCGACTTCAACAAAGCAGTCAGTTTTCTGAGAACCTGAATTTAAAGGAGTTACATTCTGCTTTAGTTCTCATAATTGAAGGGCAACCTTGCATTAGTTTTTTGAAAATAAATAACTCGTGGGAAACATTTGTAAGAGCATATCTGCTAGGGTGATGATTCTGACAGGGGAATGGATATGGCAAGCCAATGTAATTACCTGTGACTGAGAAAGACCGAAGAATGCAGCTAGTGATGCTCTTGACTGGGGAGACACAGATACAATAACAGCTTTATCAGAGTTTATGCGATCAATGAAGTCACCCAAGCTTTGCTTCTCCAGCATAACCGTCTCTGCGGATGTTATACAACCACTAAGATAAAGACGAAACAGTCAGCATTGATTGAAAATGATCAGGTTACTTATTTGATCTGAAGAGTAAAAAAGAAAAGAAAAGAAAAAAACCTGCATGCCAGACAGTCTTTTAGTGAAATTTTGACTGCGTCCTCTGGAGGTTTTGAGCTCACTGTAGTTTCTTTCTGTTTGTTCTGTAAAATTTCTGTGTCAGGAATATGGGCAAGGGTTTGCTGAAAGGCTGTAGATGATGAATTCACTTATGAAGTTCCAACAATGCAGATGTGAAGCTAGTTGTTAGCATAAATGAACATGGGTATATCCTTAGCACTTTCAAAGTAGTAGGTTAATGCAGCAGATTCCATTCAGTAGGCTGTGACACTTATACTAATTGTTCTGATAAAAGTAAATAAAGCTATAAATTTCTTTCCTGAATCACACAAACAGTCGTTTTTGCATAGATACAAATTATGGCGAAGCTATGCTGCCAGGAGTCTATTCTGTAACAGGTAGGGGTGTTATTCTGCTCAAGTTTGGTACAAGAGGGGGAAATAGTATTAAGCTATCCTTTCATCGTAAAACTTTGAGATCAAGGTATTTGGTATTCTTAATGCCTACAGAGAACCACCTTTGGCATTACAAAATGAACATGATGTTTAGTGTGTGTGCGGGCGTGTGAAAGAAGATGGGCATAAGATTTCTGATGATCTGAAGATGCTATGTCCACTCATTACATGTCATAATTTGGTTCCTACCAATTGGAGCAACATGTAAGACATCATTGGAGAAAATAACATTTGATGCTATAATTATGAATCTAAATACATTTTTTACAGGGGAAAAAACAAATGTAATAAGAGCTCGACTGTAGCTAACACAAATTTTCCCTTCCTATTTATCGCACAGAAACCAACATGAGAAACCTGAAGGCAAAATAATTTCATTTCCTACTTCTTTGTCATTCGCCATATGATTCCACACATCACCATCTCAGGGTTCGAAACAAGTATGGCTCGTGAACTCAAACTGCACTCAGCCAGCGCATGGGGGCATGGCTCGCCCCGGACACAAATACTAGGGTAAACAACGAGACCTGGCGGAGAGAGCTGTGTCAGTACCTGGAGGCGGCGGGAGGAGGAGGTGTTCTTATTGAGGGAGATGATGCAGTCCTGCGAAGGCGCGATGAAGTCGTTGAGATCGGACGCCTGCAGCACCGGCGAGAACCTGCTCGACGACATCGTCGGCCGGCCGGGCGGCAGCCCCAGTCGGTTCCCGGACTACTTGGGGTGGTCTTCCTTGCCTCAGAGATTACAGAAATCAATCCGCGCTGGGTAGCTTGGGAACGGGCGGCGGCCGCCGGCGGGGATGCCGGCCTCGCCGTATAGCTCCGCGACGACAGGGCAGGAGGCGGCGGCTGTTGCCTCCCTGATAAGCGCGGGGCCGCGAGACGAATGTGATGAATGAGGAGAGCGGGAAGCGGGCAGTTCGGCGCGGCCACACAGATAGCTCCGGCGTGGCGGCGAGGAGCGGCGGTGGATTGGTTTCAGGGCAGGCGGAGGGGAGAGAGGGCTTCTTCGTGTTGTGTTGGGCTTCTGGACTTGTTCGAGCAATACAGCTTTGGTTGGTCAAAGAGAACAGGCCACACGCTGACACGACTCAGGAACGTGGCAAGGGGCAAAATGGAAACGTCGGTTCAACAGGGTACCAATCCAAGAGAGAGCTTAAAAGTTGCTAAGAAAAAAACAATAAAATAATGTAGTACTCCCTCCGTCACCCAAAAAATACAATTCACACCTTTGACTAATTATAGATAAAAAAATAAATATTTATAATATAAAATAAATATTATTAGATTAATTACGAAATATATTTTTATAATAAATTAATTTGAAGTCATAAATATAAATATTATTTACTAGAAACTTGGTCAAACGTGAGACACTCAAAGTGACAAGTAACCCCATAGTTGTATTCTTTTAATGACAGAGGTGGTTTGGATGGATCGGCATTCTTTTTGAAAAAAAGGATTGTATGAGTTCAATATAAAAAACAATGACTCTGTTCGCTTATCTTATAATTCGTCTTTTTTAGCTTGTTTTTTTAGCTGAAATAATGTTTTTCTCTCACAACAAATCAGTCAGAACAATGTTTTGTCTTATTTTTTCAGCAAAGCGAACGGAGCCAATATTAGAAAATGGAAATATTATAATAACCACACTCTGGACATTTTTATTAGTGGCCTAACATTTTGAGAATATCTTCGTGCCTTAGACAAATGTAGCAAAATGAAGACTCTGTTTTTCTTTAGCTGAGATCAAGTTTGAAAAATATTGAGGTATATCTCCCTGCCTGACATGCTGTCGTTCACACATCTCGAAATTTTCAGGTATCCCTCTTAGATTCTAGAAGGGTAGCATTATCTTCGTTGGAACTGGAAGCAAAAGTGTCATTCATATAGAATAATAATAAACATAAACAAACTAGATAAGATAGAACGTGGAAGACAAGATAGATATTGATTCCTCCTGTATATTATTATATACAGAAGTATTGGCTACGGTGGTCGTCGTGTCGTCCTGTACTCCTGTGACGTTGCCAGCAGAAATTTTAAAAAGCGTACTAGTACGTGCCAGATACAAATAGCGCCACAGTCACCAAGCAACTGTTCAATTATTAGATTCTCAATTACTAGAAAACAAACTGTCTCCCTACAAATTGGAGCTGAGAAAGCGACCCATCAGAGACTCGGGGCCTCTCAGATCGAGCGATCTCAGGGACATAAACAAAAACAAAGCATACATGAGTACGCGACCATGGGGGCATGGCGCCTTGCTTGACGACGCCGCAGACGCACCTCCGGCTCCGGGTCTCACGCATGACGCAACGCACTCAGCGCTCGCGGGTATCGGCTTCCAAGTTGTTGGGTGGGGGACTGCCGCCGTGTGCGGTCTGATCTGGCTGCCTCCGTGGGATTAACCGGGCCACTGATTCAGGGGGTGTTTGGTTGCCTGTATCATGTCCCAACCAGACCCCAATGATACAGATGACACATGATTGGATGCCTGGTTTAGCCCCCTAGTTAGGCCCGCGCGATGCAAAAGCAGTCTGCCGGGTAAGCTCGGGGTGTGCGGAAAAAATCCCCGTTCCTCCAAGGCCTGGCTCGCTCGGTGCCAATGGGCGCGCATGCATGCATGCTGTGTGAGAGCAAGAGTTGTGGGATGCGGGCAACCAAACGCCTTCCCTTCGTGGCCTGGCTGTATGTGTACATGAACCAAACAAGTTAGGCCATGTTTAGTTTCTCCATTTTCTAGAATTTGGCCTGGCTGCATGTGTATTAAATGACGAAATCAAAACTAAAGTTTTTGTTGTATCGCATCTAATTGCAAATTAGACAATTATTGGCCGGTGTGGCAGCCTGCTTCAATTTCGTGGCGCCAAATCCAGGCCAACTAAACATGGCCTTGGTATCGTGATCTCGCAAAACGGCGGTGGTGGCGTACCGCGCCGTTGGAGCAAGCCAGGCCACATCTAGAAAGCAACCAAACACGCCCTTAAGAGCACCCGTAGTATATCGAGGTTTGAAACGTCCTTTCAACCTTCACTTCTACACAATGCTTCAACTCAATTTTCCACCTAGGCGTCAATGCCTAGAGCCCCAGACCAATATGGACCCTATACTCAAATAAAATATGCGGCCAACTAACCCCATCGTAGACTTCTTTTGCATTGGCGGAGCTCAATGTCGGCCAACCTGAGCCCCCCCCCCTAGGGCCTTAGGGGTGTTTAGTTCCCCAATTTTGCCAAAAGTTTTGATGTTTTAGCCTACCTTTTTGTAAAATGGATCTAAACACCATGTACCCAAACACATCAAAAGTGGGGCTTCAAAAGTTTTGGCATTTGGGACCCAAGAGACCCAAAACTTGTAAAAAACTCGTGGGGGGAGAGTCGGACGCCCACTACCCCTGCACCCACCCACCCCACCACTCGGACCCTATCCATTCCCCGCAGTCACTCCCCACCGCTCTTGCTCTCTCCCTCCGCGCGAACCCTAGCTCCGCCCGCCGCTCTCGCTCTCGCACGCCGCCGCTCTCGCTCTGAGCCTCCGCGGCCGACCAGATCTAGCTCCTCCTCCACGGCCCCTAGATCCAGCTCCTCCTCCTCAGGTCCCAGATCCAGCTCTTCCTACGTCCACTACCCAAAGCCAGGTCCTCCTCCCCGGTCTCACTGATGGACGGCTACAACGTTGACGGCTACGGCGACGGCAATGGGAACGGTGATGGCTACGGCGATGGCGACCGCACTAGGGACTTCTTCTCCCAACCTAATTCGTTCTCCCCCACCGGCGGCTACGAGAACATCAACGACGCGGCTTATCCCTTTTCGGGCTCGAGCAGCGTCAATGCTCCCCAGGCTGGCATGGCGGCGCTCGACCTCAACTCCCATGGCCAAGAGTGGCCTGGAATGGCAGGCTATGAGGACCTCCTTCGCTCCGGCCCACAAGGTGGAGGCGCCGGCGACGGCATGGGTCCCCCTCCCATTCGCGTCGGCAGAGGCAGTCGTACTCTCGGCTTATGAGCGGCTCGCAGTGGTGGTGGAGGAGGCACCACGGCCGCTCACGCTTTGTCATCATCCTCCGGTGGTGGCGGTGGACGTCTGTTGCCTCCTGTGACCGTCGGCATGCGCACTTCACCTGGATCTACATCCGGCGTGCCTGTCGGATCTAGGAGCCACGGTGCACATCGACGACCTGCGAGTACAGCTGTTGTGGAAGACAACTTCGACGTCAACAACCCTTTGGATGCTGATGATGACGAGATCTTTCCAAACACTGCAATCCCGGTATTTTTCCAGAACCCTGCGTAGTTTGGTTTCAGTTTGATTGTTACCGTCTTCGTAATATATGTTTGTATTCTTGTTATGCATCATTTAGGATAGAGTCGACAGGGGAAATTGGTCAGAAGAAAATACATGCAAAGTGTGTGAGATTTGGGTTGACCAAATCACTAAAGGTAACTATGTGAATGGTGTCATGAACAAGTCAGAGATGAGGGAGTGCAACAAATTTGGTTCATGATAGAACCTAGATTGGTAATAGGATTAGACAATTGAAGGGATATTGGCAATTTATACAAAGACTGCGCAATGACACTGGCTTAGGCCATAGATATGATGGAACTGTTGATGCCACTGAAAAATGATGGGAAGACAACACTAAGGTAATTGCCAATATCCCTGTTTCCTGTTTATGTCTAGAAATCTCTTCCCTTGCTCACTAAAATAAGCTCTGTAGGGCCACCCAGACTAGAAGAAATGCAAGAATGGGTGGCCAGGTTACATCAATGAATTGGACCAAATGTTCCATGGTGTAGCTATTGATGGCTCCACCTCATTTGTCCCTAGAGGAAGTGTCACTGTGGATGAGGAAGAGGAGGAGCCACCCGAGGACCTTGATGTGCAGACCCCAGTTAGCATCACTAGCAACAAGAGAGCAAGCAGCACAAGCACCACTGGCTCTAGTCCCAGCAAGAAGTCCAAGAGCCCAGCAGTTAGGAGCATGGACAAGTTCATGCTTGAGAATGCCAGGATTCAAGTAGAGAGGAATGTGATGTTCCAGAGACATTTGGAAAACAAGCAGCAGGTTGCCTATCAGCTTGCCCAGCAGAAAGAGGCTGCCAGAGTAGAAAAGATTAGGTATGTGCAGCAGTTGGCTAGAGAGTGTGGTGTAGATGAAGGAAACAAACAGTTGTGGTATAAGGTATTCTAGATCACCAAAGATGATGACAGCATGGAGTTCTTCATTAGAACATCTACACCTCATGGAAGGCTGGGCTTCATTGAGAACTATGGGGTCAACAACTAGATCATCTTGTCTTATCTATGTCTGTCATTTGAACAATTCATGTCTGTTATTGTACTTGAACTATGTCGTTTGTTGTACTTGAACTATGTTAGTTGAACTGTGACTTTTGAACAATTCATATTATTTGAACTATGTCAGTTGAACAATTCATGTCATTTGCACTATGACTGTGATGTGAGCTTGTCATGCATGATCATTTTTTGTACTTGAAAGCTCTATTTTGGTTTTGGTGAATTGATGAAACCCTAAGTGATAACCTAGTTTATCAAAGTGATCATGAGATAGGTAGCACATTCCAAGTGGTGAAGCAAATGAAGATCATGACATGATGATGGTGATGCCATGGTGATGATCAAGTGCTTGGACTTGAAAAGAAGA